CCCCTGCATCGGCAGGCGGACTCTCAACCACTGCGCCACCAGGGAAGCCCTGTCACACCATTTTTATAACCTCAGTGACACTGAGCTTTCTCACATTAAGCCTCTGCCTTCCTGGATGACTTTGTTCCTAGCTTGTCCTATTGAGATCAGGTCTCAGCTTGTCTGTTACATTTTCAAATTACCACTGAATATCTATAGGAAACGTGTTCTTTCCACATATTTGTGTTCTCTGTTCTTTCCACATATTCTAACGCTTACCTCCCAGCCCCATCCCAGTGCCTCTGCTCAAGTCTGCACATGCAAGAGGGTCTGGGTAGGAAGGGCGCTCTTGCAGGTGCGGCCATACCCACACCTGCCCATAGTCCTTCTGCCCTTGGCTCGCCAGAAATATCCCTATGGTCTCAGTGATTACACACCCACGTTCCCAGCTTCCTGTGCTGTGGGCGACTTGTGTCTCCTTTACTTTGTTTGTTTGTTCTTTCCATATTTCTTAACTTCCCGAGTCTCAGTGAGAAGGAAGGGCGGGGAGCTGCACAGGTATCACCAGCCCGTGACCATCAGCCTGGCAGCCTCCTACAGGGGAGCCTTAAAAACAACCGGGACAGCGTCTCAGCGGTACTGGCTCACATAGGAGCAAACAAGCCTCAAGAAACAAAGGCCGCACAAAGCCCAAGGGGGGTCAGGGGAAGGTCCGATGCTGAGCCTGGACCATGAAGCCTGGCTCTCTTGCAGGCAGCCGGTGGCCGTGGGGCAGCACGCCTCCCCTTGTACACAGAACAGGCCATGCCAAGGGACCCTGGGCAGGTCCCTTCTCCCCTCTGGCCTGGGCTGCGAGGTCCCAGGGCCCCTTGAGAGCTGGCTTTCCTCCTATGACCCCCGTGACCTGATCTGGGGGGTTGCTTGCACGTCCATCCCTTGGCCATGTGTGTTGAGGGATGGTTCCCCTTCTCCATGGAGCTGTTTCCTGAAGATGTGGACAACAAAGCAGACGGACCTTTGGTGAAATCTGCATCATGTCTTTTCCTCCAAGGACAGCTCCAAAGACATTTTAAAAATACATGCGGACAAAATTCAAGTTTTCCAAAATAGTAAATGTTGCGAAATAACACTGCACATTTCCTCTTTTCTAGATAAAACAGAAAACACGTGGTTATTTTTAGCCCCTGGAGCTCCACTGGGAATGGGTGTAACATGTGCCCACGTGCACACAGAAAGGGCAATTTTTTTTTTTTTTTTTTTTGGTACGGGGGCCCTTCACTTTTTTGGCCTCTCCCGTTGGGGAGCACAGGCTCCGGACGGGGAGGCTCAGTGGCCATGGCTCACGGGCCCAGCCGCTCCGTGGCATGTGGGATCTTCCCAGACCGGGGCACAAACCCGCGTCCCCTGCATTGGCAGGCGGACTCTCAACCACTGCGCCACCAGGGAAGCCCCAGAAAGGACCCTTTTTATCAGCTGCCCTGCAAGGATGGAGCCGTCGCAAAGGACACAGGCAAGCGCAGCACTGCTCTGCCTGGTGGGGATTCCCTCCAAGCGTGGATGCCCAGGAAATGGAGAAGGACGGGCTCCCTGTAACCCCTCCCTCCTCTTCTTACGCAGCGTGAACCCAGCTCAGGCCCTGAGGCTCCCAGACTCAACCTCCTCCTGGGTAAAACCAGGATAGCGAAGGTGAGGCTTAGCTTTACGATGAGGGTTTGATAAAATAATGTGTCCCAAATGCTTCACCCACTACCCAATACACCCAACAAATGGCCGCATTACCATCACTGCCACCATCAGTGTTCATCCTTCGATTTCGCCATTTATGCAGTAAATCGTCTCTCCAGGGACCAGCTGTCTGAACGACTTCATTTTCCTTGCAAACTGACCCCACATCTCCAGGTGCAAACAGGATGTTGGAAAGAAGGACATCCTTGAGGACTTCACGGAGTAAATATCAAGGAGTCTGATATCAAGGGCTCCTAATGGCCAGAGCTGGAATGATTTGAGGAAAAAGTAATCTTTACTTATTAATATAATGAGTGTGCCATTAATTAATAATGACAGTATTGGCTAATCTCCCATAGACCAAAAGATCTCAGTCCATACTCATATAAATATCCAAATAAATAAATGTGGCAGAAGAAAGTCTTTTCCTACAGAAAAAATGTTATTAACAAATGAGGAAGCGGCTTCCCTGGTGGCAAAGTGGTTAGGACTCCATGCTCCCAATGCAGGAGGCCCAGGTTCAATCCCTGGTCAGGGAACTAGATTCCACATGTATGCTGCAACTAAGAGTTCGCATGCCACAACTAAGGAGCTGGCAAGCCACAACTAAGACCCTGCTCAACCAAATAAATAAATATTTTTTTAAAAATATGAGGAAGGGGGCACTTCCCTGGCAGTCCAGTGGTTAAGACTCCAAGCTCCCAATGCAGGGGACACGGGTTCAATCCCTGGTCAAGGAACTAAGATCCTGCATGCCTCCAGGAACAGCCAAAAATAAATAAATAAAAAAGGAAGGAATGAGGGAAATAGAATATCACCATTAGGCAAACAACCCTGTAATAACTATTTCCAGAAATTGGGCAAAAATCTGAGGAGAAACAGGATGCTGGCATAGCCTCAAAGCAACTCCCCCACAATATGTATCAATTACCCTGGGGAGGTGGCAAGAAATGGTCGTTCTGGATTATTTTTAGATCAGAACTTCTCGTAAGCACTCTCCTTGCATCCCCTTCCCCACCTAGTTTTTTTTCTTTCATGAGAATCTGCTTACGTATTAACTTCAGAGTAATTCTGATTTAAAGCAAACTAAAATCCTTGGAACAATGACTTACATAAACCATAGGCTTGAAATGAGGGTAAAAGGCAAAACATAAAGTGAACACACACAGCTAACATTTCAACACATTTATTTTGCACGAATGCCCATAGTCTTACCCACTCCTCGCACTCACGCCCCCATGGCCCACGCAGGAAGGATGCAGCTCCAGGACACCTTCCTCTTGGTGCACGAGGTCACGAGTGACTAAAAAACAGGAAGAAGTCGGAGAGGCTAAATCTACACAGTAACGTCTGAGCTGGAGGACCTTAGCTAAGGCAGGCTGGGAGAAGAGGGAGGTGAGGGCAGAGGCCAGGCACACACCCTCCCCAACCCCTCCTTGCAAGACCCCAGGAGAAGCCTGCCTGGCCCCAGCTCTCCCACAGGGCACCCAGGGCCGAGCCCCTGGAAGATGGGTCATCCTGGGTGGTCCCCTTGCTGGCCAGGGAGGTCTCTACTCTTAGCAGTGATGACAACATACTAAATATAAATGTGAAACCGTTACTAAACACCTGTTTACTTGAAAGAGACAAATTCATCCGTGCACCTGCTCCAACCAAAGTGTGGCCTGATTGCAGACAATCTGCAGGGAGGGCCTTCCTTCGCTCCTTGCTCCCTCGCCTCCTACTCTGCTTCTCATTCTTCCCCACGGGGCCCAGAAGCAGGTTAAAGAGGCCCACTTTGCAGTCAGAAAAGGGAAAAAGGGACGGGATACGGAGAGGGGACACAGGAAGAGGGGAGGGGCGGAGGTGACGCGGAGCCATAGTCTGACGGACACGCGGCGCCGGCTCTTCCGGTCGCCTTCCGATGGCGTCACCGGCCTGCGCGGGCTGGAAGAGCAGAGTGCGTCGCCCCGATGCGCGCCGAGGGGAGAGCAGGCCTGAGCCGCGCGCGTGAAAGGCAGGGCCGGCTCCCTGCGGAGGCTCCTACATGGCGGCGGCCGCACACCACAAACGCCCCTGCGGAAAGCATGACAGGCGACAGAGACGGGCGAGACACACCTGACACAGTAGACGAGACTGTTGAACCCGCCTGCCAACCACGGGCGTCCACTCCGCGCGTGCTCAGGGGCCGCCGCCAGACTGCGCCTGCGCGGGCTCGATGATCACACCGCGCCTGCGCAGCGCCGTCTTCGTCGCCACTCAGGCGCCTGCGAGTCCTCGTATGGTCCCGGCTGCTCCGGTCGAGGCCTTCTCGGACTGCCCAGTTCGAAGGCATACGCTCTACTCGGGTTTCCAGCCGGCAGAAGGCCCACCCCTCAGCTCGTCTGACCATCATCTTGACCCTTACCTCCCGAATGTCCTCTACCACCTCTCCTCTCTCACCGAACCCTCACCTCCCCTGGCAGCGAAGACGTGTGGTGATCCGGCGCTCAGCTCTGCGCCTGCGCGGGGCCCCTCGCAATTCCCAGCCGGCTTTAAGCTTCTAAGTGCGGGTTATCGCCCACACGGACACAAAATGTCGTTTTTCATCTTCAGCCTAAGGTTTTCTCTAACAGGGACGTCATGGGAATTACGATTTTCTAAGTGTATATTAATGATCAAGAAGGGACGGTCATCACTTTAACATGTCCTAATGGCCTCGGTTCTGCTGTCCGTCTTAGCTTCGTTTGGGTTCTAAAGGCCCGCGGCCAACTAAGGTTCTCGCTTCCTTGTTAGATTTTTTTTGCTTTGTTTGGAGGTCGGGGGTGGGGGGGGGAGGTTCCTTTCTCCGCGGGGACCTAGGCTGCCAGGACTCCGCCCCTTGTCCAGCCCAGGGCTCTGCAGGGAGTGCTGGGGGTCAAAGGGAGTGTGGGGTCAGGAGACCAGGGAAGAGTTGGGGGAAGGAGCCCCTGGGAAATAGGCTGAGACGCCTCAGAGACAGGAGTGGGTGTCCCCGGCCTGGACAGTTCGCTGAAGGTCTTCGCACCAGAAGGGATTCTGGGGGTCATTTCCACTTTGAGATGGGTGGTGTCACCCCCTCCACGTGAAGTTAACCTGCCCAGTAATGGGGAGAGAGGGGCTGCCATAGCCAAACAAGCTCCATGCAGTCTGGGCTGAGGGGTGAGAGGGATGCCTCCTTTCCCCTTTGCGTGTGAGGTGGGCCAGGTGGGGTAACAGAGGCCTTTCCTGTTCATGCTTTGCCCACCTGGGAGGTGCCCCTTAGCTCCCAGACAGCCCACCCACTCACCTCTCCCCACACCCCTTGAGTTATGTTTCTTGAGGTTTGGGGGCTGTAGCAGTGAGGTCCATGGGTATTGGGATGGGGGTGGGTGGAAGGTATGTCCTGTCCTAAACTCTCGTAGGCAAGAGTGATGTATTCTTGAAAGGCGGTGAAAACAAAGGTCAAGGAAGGAATGTCAGCTAAGCCTGCAGCCCATCGTTTGAAATGAGCACGAGTGGCTGGGCCCAGGCAGAAATGTAGGCTGGGAGGAAGGCCTCCAGGAAGAAGAGGGGAGGACCTGACGTCCCCAGGGTGTGGAGGGGCGAGGGGACTTGGGCCTGGCAGGACAGATGGAGGGGTCAACCAAGGCATGGTCCCTATGGGCAAATTTGAATGTGGCCTGCATTATAGGTGAGGGCAGTGCTAGACCAATCCCAGAATGTTGCCTGAAATTTGTATTATAATTTGGTTTTAGATTGTATTTCTACTTGATCTGTCTCTCTCTTATAAATAAATGGAATACAGCATGGCAGTTCTAGCTGTTTCAGTTCTGGTTAATGAAGATTTTAGTGCACTAAGATTTTGTTGGCTAATTAGAATTAATTATAATTTGGGGGTATTTTACCATGCCATCATGCAATTTTCACTGTTGCAAATGGAGAATGAAATCAAATACCCGTGACACTAAAGCGATCTGTTCATCTTCGGTAACTTGAACGGAGTTAAGTAGCCCAGTCAGTCGGGCTGTCTCCGCAGCTTCTTCCAGAACGACTAACTGAATTTTGGGAGAGAAAACCTTTCAGAGCTCAAGGGAAGAATGACAGGCAAATGGAACAGCTCCCGGAACTCTTCGGTACAGGCTTTTCAAGCTCCGTGGGCAGTAACACCCAGCCAGACGGCAGGGTCCTGAGCCCCGCAGGGTCGGTGCAGCTTTTGTCCCGGTTTATTTGAATTATTTATGCAGAAAACTCTCGTTCCCTGCCTGGGAAGACCTGTTTCCATGGACATCTCTTTTTAGACAACTCCCCTCTATTTTCTTTTCATCTGTTCTTGAGTAATTCCTGGGAATAACATGAAGAGGCATAAGTGACCTTCACCTGGACACAGGTCCAGCATTCCCTCTGATGCGCTTCCGTAAAATAAGGTGAGAGCAGAAACTGGTATATTTTTAGAGGAAATTTCTTTGAGAAATAGTTTCTATTTTATCTGTAATCCTCTGGCTAATGTTTAAAACCAGTATTCATAATGCTGCCTAAGAGCTTTAGAGTAAATGGATTTTAATAAAGAAAAGCTATTTTAGAGTGCTGTGTTGTAAGAGGGGCTCAGCAAAGAGGAGTGGAGAGGAGACTAACAGATGAGGGGACCCCCGGGGCCCAGAGGGAGCAGCCAGGAACCAGACAAAAGAGATCGCAGGGCAGCAGACAGCCAGGTGCCCGTTCCTGGCACTCTGCTCCCGAGAGGAGAGAACTCAGCAGCAGCCTCGGAAGCTGGTTTAAGCCAATATGCGCAGGCCTCTTTCTAGTCCTGCAAGGTGAGCTGGGTGCCCTGCCTGGCCCTTTGCCTCTCCCTCCCCCTTTCATCTCCCAGCTCCTATCAAATGGTTATTTTTATTTGTGAAGCTGGTACATACGCCTTTTGTTCTGTAACTGTAATTAAATCCCTGGTCTTGGTATCGGGTGCACAGTGTGTGTGCCTAAGACACCCCACACACTGTGTCTCCCCTTTCCTAGTTCCACCCACAATTACCACTGACCATTGCGCCCACTCTGTGTCAGTCCTGTGAGGTGTGGCTTGAACTAGGTCGTAGCAGGAATGTTTACACCCCAGATGTGGGCATACCTGCAAATCAGCACTTGATTTATTGCTTTGCAGAGTGTCTTGACTCAGTAAAAGGACAGAGAAAACGTTAACAGTGCAGATTAAACTTAATACCGTGTTGAAGCCAATACAGTGTGAGCAGCACAAGAAAATGGAGGAAATATTCTTTAAGTATGAGAAAACTATAATCCAGTTCAGCCAAGAAGTCGTTGACAAACGAGGGTCAGACTGAGTTTTGTGGCTTCATTTTTGTCTTATCCGTTAATGAAAAAAAAAAAATCCACCAACGTGGGCATGGGAAGGACCCTCGCTGATCGATTACAGGCCTAGGTTACCTGTAGAGATGAGAGTTCGCCAAAAATCAACACAAGTATTCTGTGAGAATCAATTGGTTGGAAATTACAATGAAGAGTATTGTGTATTTTTTAAATTACTTGTAAACTATGTGCTCCAGACACTTTACTAGAATTTACAATAGGCTTGTACATATATGTACATGCATATGTTTTTGTTCCTGAGAGCCAACTGTTAGACCTTTACCCAGAGTCATGGCCACCAGCGGGGTTCTGCCCTGGGATGGGTCAACCTTCATTTCTTATTCCGTCAAATTCTTGCAGTTTTTATACCTGCAGTTATGCAAAGTTCAGGTACAAGGAGATTTACTTACTGTGTGATGCACCCACTTTTGCATAGCTTTTGGTGATTTTCAGTGATTCTATTTGACTCTTATAATTGTGGCAAGTTGTGCATTTACTCAGCAGATGCCCTGTGGTCTGTGCTGAGTACATCACGGCCAAGGATGCTGTCCTGGTCCTCAAGAGGTTAGACCCGAGTGAGACCCTGTGAGGGTCCTAGCAGATTCCCAGGTACTTACAGAAAAGCCAAGAGACACAAGACAGCCTCCTTTTCAGCAGTGTCTAAGAGGCTAGTCCTTGCCGGCGACCCCGCCCCTCCACTCTCAGGGTCCTGACTCTCCAGGGCCCCTCCCTGTGGCCACCATCACCAGGCCTCTGCCCTCCTGGTCTTCCCTCCTGGTCTTGGACCTGCTCTGCTCCACACCTGGGCTCACTCTGGAGCTGAGCGGGTCCTGAAGCTACGCCTCAGGGGTCTGATGCTTCTAGAGACATTTGCGGTTGTCGTGGGCGCTCCTGAGGGGACAGAAGGCTGGCCCTGAGGACAGATTATAGTCCCAGGACACGGTGTGTGCGGGTGGCTAGGTCACCTCTGCAAACGCCAAGCCTGGGCTGGGTGGAGGACCTCGAGGGTTTCAGCATGGACTGCTTGCCCGAGCTGCTTCTGAATGGAGCCCCCCGCATACTACACAGAGGGTGTGTCTGTGACAATAGGTTTAAGGGACAGGATCATCCCAGAGACGTCAAACGGGTGGTGGTGGGAGGGCTGTACAGCCACGTGCCGTGGTCCTGTGGCCAGCGTCCTCTTGGCCCTGGCCCACCATGTGTGTGGTGGCCCAGAGGGGAGGAAAGCACAGGGCTTTCTGGTCATCATCGTTGGATCTTCCTTGGAATAAAGAGGCCGCCGGTGCGGCCTCCCATTCAGGTCGCATCAGCAGCTACACGAGCCCAACCCACTAACCGTCCGCCATCCACACGGGCAGTGCTTCTCTCCAGGCAGCCCTGGAGATTAATTAAAGAAAAAATAAACATTGCTGGGGACGTTATAGGACATGACACTTGCTGCCCTCTCTTTCTGAAGCTGTAACCATGATGGATGACCCATTGTTGGATTATTATGAAAGATGGACAAGCTTAGAATTTCAACAAAACCTACAATATCATCAGTGAGCACAGTCAGCTTAATGGTTCATAAAGCAGCTGCTTGACTGCTGACACGATAGGTCTAGAAGGAGGGCCTGGCCTTCCCCAGCAGCCTTGCCCTGAGAACATGGATTTTCTCTAGAGCCTTTGTTTCTTTTTCCTTCCTGTCCCACCCCTGGTGCTCTGGTACCTCCGGGATCTGCCTTCTATACAGGACCTGTTTGTCTTGGGCAGTTGCGTGGCTGCATTTTGGGAACCAACTGCAGGTGACCAGACTGGCTCAGCTCCTCCCACACGAGGTTCAGGCCTCGTGGGCAGGTGACACACTCCCTTGGGGGCACAGAAGTTTCAGGTGCCGAGGAACTGACAGCAGTATCTGGGCACAGGCTGTACATGGTTTACATCTGAAGCCTGTTCACACAGAGCAGGTGGTTAAGACAACAGGTTGGGTTTGGATGGACCTGCAGCACGCCTGCCGCGTGACCTTGGATGGTCACCTCCCCACCATGTCCAGAGCTGGGGTCATGCCACCCACCACAGAGGGCACCACACGGCACAGTGTAAGGAGATGCCGAGCATGCAGAGCCTCCTCGAACCGGCCCAAG